AACGGCCCGTTCTAGGCTACTGAATCAGCCTTTTTTTTTCTTTTTTCTTTTTTACAATGTTACATCAAACACATCAAGTTGTAATTTGGGTGGTCTAATAGGGGCAAGATATTGTAAAGGGTTAGGCACATGATTGGTGTATGGAATGGAATTAGGGATGGGGTTGTGTAAAATGTGAGGGTTAGGAAGTGGTGGATTGTAAGAGGTATGAAGAAGGGAATTTACGGAACTTGTTGTAAGGATAGGTGGGGCTGTACAAAATGGGGGAAAATTGGAGATGGGCTGAGTGTATTGGGGAAATGTGTTGGTAATCATAGCTGGTGTCGTGAGTGGAATAGAGCCGGGTATATTTGGGGTAGGTAAACTAGAAGAAGGGGGAGGAGAAGAGGTACCTTGTATTTTGATATTTTGAATTTGTTGAGTGAAGGTATCCATCATATTGGACATCAAATTAGTCAGGGCATCGTGTCGGTCATCATGTATTTGATTCTGTTGGATCAATTGTAGTTGTAATTTTGTAATCTGTGAAGTGAGGGTGGCGATGGCTTCATCCGAGGGTCGGTTGGAGTCTGAATCCTGATTAGGTTTAGGAGGCATGGTCAATGAAAGCACCAAATTGATAGGAGCTACTGTAGAACTAGGGCTACCAGAACAAAACTAAGATTTAATTCAGAATTCATCATATCCCTCAAATGAGAGTTGTCTAGATATTAAATACCCCTTAAAATGGTCTAAAGAGACCTTGGAGGAAAACGGATAAACATTTTGGGCTCAAAACTTAAACAGAAAAAACTATTCTAGTTTGTAGTCTTTGGCCGAATACAGTGGGAACTTAGGCCTACGTGAAATTGCCTTATCAACTTCACTATAGTTTTTCCTTATTGTAAACTATGTGATGGAACACCCTTTCCTGAGAGAGCTTTTCATTACAATTTCTATGTTTTTATTGCATTAATATGTTTATTATTTATTGACATAGGTGAAGAATTGATCATGTTAATTCCTTACAAAATTTTAATGCAGGATAGCAATCTAAACTCTTATTAATCAGGCCAGATTCGGATATATATATTCAACTAGTTGGCTTTTTTGCTCCAACCTTAATATTGTTTTTGCATCAACAACATTGACTGTTGCGATTCTTGTTAGTTTCTTGTCTATTAGAGCCTTAACATCTCAAAATTTTTTGACATAGAAGTGATAGAACTACCATGCTCCTAATTTATTTTTCTACATGATATAGTTTTACATTGACATTATCTTATTGGTATAAAAGACAAGTTCATCATGGAATTTCCTAGGGAGAATGGAAGCCAATTTCTTTATAGTAACTCCAAGCTCCTTCAAACGTTTTCCATATATCTAAAATTCAAAACAAAACACAAAGATGGAGATGATTAGATAGGAGAGGCATGCCTCTCTTAAGGGAGAGTTAAGCAAGAGTGAAATTTTTGTCATAAGGAGAGTTTCTTTAGCAAAAGGATTTAAGAAGAAAATTCTTCAAGGTGATTCAAAAGATATTTGAGAGAGATTTTTGAAAATGAATCCCATTCACTACTCAAAAGTGACGAATACAGTGTGAAGAGTGGAATATATAGGAGTAAGTAGCTTATGGAGCAAGTTAGGCTAACCATGATTCAAAATGAATCATGGTTGCATAACTATGGTGAGATCTAGGCACCTAGTTTGAATTCAAATTATGGCTCCAATCTCCAATGTGCAACATGTGCTCCTAGATGCAAATGAGTCTATAAGATAATGTCATGTGACATACAAGAAAAGTGTGACCTATATTACAACTATGCGATTTGCAATTTGAATTTGAATTTGAATGAGACCATGTGTGCCGCTTTGGCCAACCACATGTGCATTCCAATTCAATTAATTTGTTAATTCTTAATCTAAAATAAGTTGCACTTCTTAGGCAAAAAATTATACATCAAAGAAAATTACATAAAAAATTGTCTATTCTACTTAGCCCAAAAATACAAGACCTAAAGAAGAAAAAAATACACAAATGCATAAGAGGTATTGAATTTATATATTTAGTAGCCTATAGCTTAAGATGAACTTAGGTGTATTGACCTCATTAT